CCAGAATATCCTCAGCAACCTGAGCTTGTGCACTGAGTCTAGGGCTGGGATCATCTGCAGGAGAAAGGAGAGAGAGAATTAGCTCCTTTGGTCTGTGCCAACTCTGACGTTAGTATGACACCAGCAGCATAATCGCAAAGGCGGATTAGGAGGCAAGACTTAAAAAGAGCACATATCTCAATGTTAAGAGGCACCATGCAGCTGCCGACTCGTCTTATTCCTAGGTTGAGGAGCCTTGCCAAAGCAGGAAACTGGGAGGAGGAGCTCCACTTTCTCAACACCAGAATTCTGCATGACAGTGTCAAAGTTCAGTGCAGACTGAATGGATGATGGGTTTCTAAAATGTTTACACTCAAATCACTTATTAGCAATTTGTGCTAACAGAACACCGTATAATGCATTTTTATATGCAGAATTCATTTATTCAGACATCTCCATGCTAAAGAAAGAAAAAAAAATAACTGTTCAAACTTAGGTTTAAAGTCTTTTTAATAAAAAATAATGCCTTTCTCCAATTCTTCCTTCATAAATCTCTGCAGCACATCTGAAAACAACAGATATTCCTATTCTGACTAGATCTCACCTTGACAGTGCAGTTGCTGGGACAGAGCACCTTTCCATAAGCACGGTTGTCAGAGGCACTCTAGGAAATCTAGACATTTGTGGGGAGTGCTGGAATTGTACCTGGGATGCACAGGGACAACCTCATCGCAATTGTAAATGCATCTCTGTTTACAGACAGGATTTAATCTCGTCAACAAAATCAGCAAATCAAAAATGTTATTCTGGAGTCTAGGCCAAGTAGGTAGCCATAAAAATCCTTGTTCTGATAGAATCCCACTTTTAAAAAATTCTAAATCCCTAAATTATATGTGTCTGTAGGTGTGTAAGTAATAGCAGCCAACATCAAAAGCACCAAACATTTACTGAGCACTTACTATGTGCCAGGTACTATGCTAAGCCCCTCATATGGGCTATCTTAATTATTAAACAATCTCATGGGAAGATGCTATGATCACCCCATTTTATAGAAGAGGAAACCAAGGCACAGAGAAGTCAAATACCTTTCTATCGGGCTCTTCTTTTGTTTCCATGAAACAAATTTGGTATTTATACCTCCAAAAAATTGTAGTAAACTATATACAGAAAAAATTTCCAAAGTAATTTAATATTTCTGCTTTAATGATATTTTTATTCATGATAAAAGATTCTTAATCATAGCTAGCCTCTCCAAAATGTGATCTGATAAAACTTTTATTGTTACAGAATCTTGTTTTGAAAGGTAAGTACTTTTTGGTTATTTTTTAGTGCTGTTGAAGGCTCTAAAAAAGGACAATACAATTTGGCTAAACACAATGAAGGCCATAATGTTGCTTATAACTTTAAAAATGCTACACCAAGAAGTTAATTAAATCAAAAATGCCAACTACACAAAGTTGTGAGCACTACTTTCACAGTAAAAACTTGAGAACAATGTAAATGTCCAACAGTAAGAGAATGTTTACACTGTAGGAAAATCATACAATAGAATATTTTATAGCCAAAAAAAAATTATAAACAAACTTATGTCTAGCAGAAATTGGGAGAAGGCATACAAAAACATGTGGTTAAAAAAAAAAAATCACAAAGTTACATACATAACCTAATTCAATTATGAAAAAGCCATAAACAAATAAGGGAAAAGGTTGGGAAAGAACATGAAAAAAAATAAATAAATAAAAAACAGTAGCTAAGTGGCAAAAGTTATGGAATGGTAAGAATCTTAACATTTAGAGGCCAGCAGATGGCATAATGATTACATCGCTGGACTCCCACATAGTCAACCACAGTTCAAGTGCTGGGCCCAGTGGCTTAAAATTTACGTCAGGCATATGTCTGTGTGCCCAAAATTCTGAGAAGAGAAAGGAGGAGAAGAGACTGTGGCATGGCCATCCCTCCTGGGGGGTGATTTCTTGGACATCTCCTGCTATTCAAAAACCTTTATTCTAGGGACATCACCATATTGATAAGACCCAGATGCATAAAGCACAGATGCATTTGCTAGGACATGGAAACAGTTCTAAACATACAGAACTAGTCACTGAAATCATATGCATTAAATTGGGATTCTACCTGTACTCGCTGAACTCTTTTAGCAGAATGTTCTTTTGAAATCTATCTCATTTATTACTGAAAAATCTTCATTTCAACTTGGTAAGATAACATTATTTTAAATCAAGATATGAAAACATGAGGTGAGAAATGAACTTCCATCTAGATGCCTTGTAGCCACTGGAAACAAGACACAGCTGTCAAACTCAAAGCTGGTCCTTAACGCTACTTCTTAAACTCTTTCCTTTCAGGGTGCTCATTCAAACTATGCCCCCCAAAAGCTGCAGAAATACAAAGGCTGAACAAGGTAAAAACCCATGTCCTAGTTATACTTTCCTTGAGTCAGACAGCAATGACTATTAAAATGACTCAAGCTGTAAAAAATTAGTGAATTAAAAAAGTTTTATTATAATGGTAGGCATTTATGATATTGTTTGAAGAAACACTTTGCCACAAAAAGGAATTAACTAGGTAAAAGAGAATTTCACTATGATCCTGAACAATCCAGAACAAGCTATAGACAGAAATAAATTTAGAGTTCTAAGATCAAGGTTAGAGATCAGTGATCCGAGATACAGCATGCACAGCATGAACACCGTCACCCCTAAAAGGCACTGCGTCATCATCCCACTAATGATGAGCTGGAGGGTAGCCTAGAGGCTCGGGGTCAGGGGCCTCGTTATGAACGGAAGTTATGGTAATGAGGATGATGATGGAGGTGGGGTCTGCAAGAAGAGCACACTGAGAGTCACTGTGGCCACCACGTGGAAACCACAGAGCTATGAAGAACACACTCCCCACTGAACACATACAGACACACTCTTCTAAAAAGGCAACGCTATGGCACCCAAGAAAAAGTGTTATGAAATATGTGCTCTGGGAATGAAGGAGCCAGGAAGTCCATGGGTCTACAAACCTGTGAGTGTTGAGAATCTGTCAGGCCCCAGATCATCTTTGTCTTTTTCTTGTTTTTCTTTCTTTCTAAATGGTATAGGAGCTGGAAATTAAATAAAGTCAGTAGTGTGACATATAACATACTGCACTACTCGGAAGTTAACTGGTGTGCCAACATTTCTAAGTGAAAAGAGGGTGAAGAGTTTAAAAGCTAAAAAATGGGAAGTGTCGATTGAGATAACTGTTCTTAAAATAGCACTGAAGGTCCTTAACTAAGCAGCTTTCAGAATGTGTTTCGGAGTCTTCTGCCATAGGAAGGAAGATTTAGCAGGAATCTGTTGGGACTAAATCAAAAACCACTGCTTCTTATGCTCAAAAACAACACAAGCAAAACTCCCAGCCTTGTTCCCTCCTCTTATCAGGTGGGCTTGTGTGGGGGCGTGAGAGCAGCTGCCTCAGCTCCGGGGACCCACAGTGCTGAGGAGAGGCCCTTGGAAGAAGCCCCTCATTACTCCTGGATGCTCTCTCCTTTCAGGGAGAGATGCGTTTGCCAACTCAAATGATGCCAGGTTACTCACCAAAAAGAAAACAATTTTATACAACTGCCTTCCATAGTAAACACTCACTGACAGCTAGGGTATAAATATTCTTAATGAACATAGACATAAAAAGGTCAAATTGACTCCAGGAATGTGAAGTATGGATTTTCAGTGTTTGGTTACCAACAGCATCCCATTTTTTTACAGTAATTAATAGCAATATGTAAGTCAAAAGTCCTACTTGTTTAACTTCAATGGTATGTGACCAGCATGACTTCTACTTATGAAACCACCACCCCTTCCTGCAAAGAACAGAACATTTCTAAAGCTCTACTTCAGCATTCATCTGTGTAAAACCAATGTCTACATCCTCAAACCAGCTAGAAAAAAAGCCCGGCAAGCCTCACAGAGGAGTTGAGATACTGGCTCTCTGAAAGAAATTTGGGGGCTTTGCTCCTTGTTGCTAATTCAGCATTCTAATATTTTATAAAATTACCTTTAGGCATGGCTGAAACAAAACGTTTTCTCCACCAAGGTCTGTTCCTGTCTGATTTCTCATCATCGCTATCTTTGCGTTCTTCAGTCTGTAGAAAAAGTTTGATGCTTTATTTGGAGTAGGGAGCAGAATAAATTACTACAAAAGTCTTTCAGTAAGTCTAAAATATAAAAACCAGTCTTGTTTGCCTTAAAACTGTCCTTACTGCCATGCAGACAACTTGGGAACATGGAAGCACACCCTCAGACACCAGACTGTGATAAGCTAAAAGGGAGGTGCTATCTCATTACTGTAAGTAAATTAAAAGCTATTAAGGTGACTGGATCCCACAAGGCTAACTGTGCAGTCCACATCCCAGACCCAGTGGCTTGAAAATCACACTGGGCACTGCGTGCATGCCCCAAGTCCTGAGAGGAGACTGGAGGAAAAGGTACTGCAGCAGCATAGCCATCCTTCTAGGGGATGATTTCTGCCCCCACCTCCCTCTCTCTGGTGAGTACATGCAACCTACTGCAAAAAATTCAAAACAAACAAACCAAAAAGCTTAATATAGAGTCTCGTATAGAGTAGGTGCTCAGTAAATACTGATGGGAGAAGTAAATGCAGTGCAAATAGACTTTAGGGAGGAGGTGAGATAGAAACGCTAGCAATAACCATAATAAAAATGAGTATTTACTATAGGCCAAACACTGAGCATACAGACACACAGTATCTCCTTCAATCTTCACAAAGCCCACAGGAGATAGGTCCTATTATTAAAATTCCTGTTTATGGATAAGAAACGTGAGGGTGAAAAGCATTATCTTCCCATCTTCCCCAAAGTTACACAGCTGAGACTCAAACCTACACCTGACCAACTTCCAAGTTCCTGTCTGTCTGTTAAGTTTATCTCATTCTTCCATGAATGAGAGAGGCAGACAGAGAACCTCAACAGATCTTGATGCCACAATCTACTGTCACTCTTAGCCAGCTCAGATCACAGGCAAGGACATGCTTGGCGTATTGAGGAAGGCCTCTAGACTTAAACAGGGAACCTTCCCATGTGGCAGTGACTTGCAGAGCTTTACATTTAACCACTATGCCACCATATGGCCCTGTTTTTTATTATTATTATTATTATTATTATTTTAATGAGAGAGCACACACACATAAGCATATGGGAATAATGGAGAGAGAGAGAGAGAGGTATCTCTCATAGTCTTGCTATTGGAATTCTCTTCCTAGACCCACAGTCAGCTAGGATTAGATGTGTACTACTGTACCCAGCCTGCTCTGGCTGGTCCAAGATCCAGACCTGAGTTTCCATGTAGCTCTGGCCTCACACTCTAGAATCCTAAGGCTTGCACCACCACAGCTGGGCCAAAAGTTCATGTTCTGACCACCAATTATACTGAGTTACCATTAACACACCCTACCCGAGGGCAAGATCTATAATTACTTTACTAGCCTATCATGTGACCAGGACACTCAGTTACTTCCCATGTTTTCATATACAAAATTCTAAAAATACCAGTGGCCTTGTGGATATCTGGCTGGCTGGATCCCATGGGGCCAAATGCACATTCATGTCCCAGACCCAGCAGCTTGGAAAACATACCAAACACATGTGCATGTATGCCCAAGGTCCCAAAAGCAGAGATAAATGGAGAGAAGGGACTGTAGGTGGCCCCCCCTAAACAAAAACATGCTTAAAGAATGGCAGAACTGTGTCAAAGGAACCGAGAGGCAGCATAACGGAGCACCCACTGGCCAAATCAGGGACAGCTGAGTTTCAAGATAAATGATCGTAACAAACACACTAAATAGAAAACTGGAAGACCAGGTATAATAAATAATCAAATTAAAATCTGATGAAGAACAGATAGTTATATATTTTCCAAGTTCCTCCCCCAAAAAAGACTTATTCATTACAAAGGAAAAAAGAGTAACATTAGCGTGGTGAATCCTGGCAGACAACACTTTCATGAAATGGTCCAAATGAACACCACAGTAATGGGACAAATTAAATTTGTGTGCTGCCAGGCAGGAGGCAATAAAAAGACGACAGCGTTGCTCTGATGATATTCCTGTCAACGATTAATAAACCAAATAATCATGAGGAAACATCAAACTCAAATTGACGGACATTCTAAAAAATAACTGGCCTGTAATTTTCAAGAATGTCAGAGTCACAAAAGTTAATGAAAGAGCTAAGTCACGGTGATGTGAGCTGCTAAGTCACTGCTGCTTAGAGGCCAAGGCCTTACGGGAGGCCAGGGTTCAGATCCCAGCCCAACCGAAAAGAGGAGGAAGAGATCCTGGGGGGAGGGGAGAAAAGAGAGAGAGGAAAAAAAACTCTTTCTCACATAAAAAGTCATGAAAAAACTGAGGAAGTATTCTGGACAAAGACCAAAAAACATGACAACTAAAAATGATATATTCTAAATGAGATATATTCTAAATGAGATATATTCTAAGTGGGAATGGGGTGTGAGAATTAGGTGGTAGAAACATATCAATGGGTGATTATAACTGATGTGTAGAATGTACCTATCTGTAGGAAACTTAAGCCAAAGTATTCAGGGTGATAGAGCACAGGCTGGCAATTTAGCTGTTAATGGAGAGAACGTGTTTGTTTTTAAAGAATTAATTTTATTTATGATGATGATGATGATGATTTTTAATTTGCTATAGGACACGTGCGCTCACCAGAGAGAGAGAGAGAAATGAGAGAGACAGACAGAGAAAGTGAGAAAGCAACGTGCTAGGTCTGGGACTTGACACACGAGGAAATGTTTTCTTAACATACTTGCAGCTTTTTTGTAAATTTATGATTGTCTCAAAATAAAAAAATAGCATCCTATGAAACCAGCTCAGAGAAACACTATGAACATACTTTAAAAAAAAATTAGATACAAAATTGCTTGAGGTAAAGCTAAGAGAGTCATAAAAAGTTTGTAAAACAGTATTACTACAAAACCAAAGTTACATAGGTTTCTTATGGGTTGTGGCTGTGAATACAGTAGACAGACAAATCATCTTCACGACTGAAGGTATTGTCCATCCTTACTCCCAGGTTTATACAACCTGCATTAATTTCAGATATCAAGAGAAGCAAGCAGACACAACACTAAGGCTGGCCACCATGACAGCAGATTCTAACATGGCCCGGGTCCCGTACCTCTCCTCTTGAAGAGTCCTTACTGGGGGATGAAGATGATGAGTGAGGGGCAGCCACCAAAGAAGTAGCACCAATGGCTGCAGCCGGAGGGAGTTCTCGCTCTTCATTCCCTGGACGTCGGTTCCAGCTGGGGTCGCTCATAGGGCGTCGGACAGAAGACACTATATCAGAGCTCCTGCTGCGAACCAGTCTCTCAGGGTAAGAGTGCCTTTGCCTGAATGCCTCCATTTCAGCTGGAGTCAAAATATGGGACCCAAAGTTTGGCAACCTGGCCTCATTTCCTCCCACAGCTCCTTCCAGGATTGGGGGATCTGGTGGTGGATGTGATGGCCTAGCATAGTGAACCTTAGGCCTTACCACAGCAGCAGCCCCTGCAACACAGAAAAATAAAGCTCTGTAACTGAGACCCACTAATCCAACAAAGGCATTAACAAAGAGCTCTGGTCTCTCTCTTCTGTCTACAAGGTCAGAGAGTGCATTTCCCAGGTTTACCTTCATGTGAAGACAGTGGGTCAAACATGGCAAGCAGAGACTCTGACTGAGAAGGAGGAGAAGTCAGCTGATGGGCACCTAAAACAGGAGGGCAAACTGTGAGAATGAGCCAGAAGTCAGCACAGGGGAACTGTACTATTTCCTTCCAGATTTTCTAATGGCTTATCATTTTGTATATAAAATTCTATTAACTTTTAGACCTAATATGTTCTATTTTACAGGTTATTTTTCTTTCTTCCTTCTTCCTTCTTTTCCTCCCTTCCCTTCCCTTTCTCTCTCTCCTCTTTCTCTTTCTCTTTTTCTGGCTACAGGGTGTGTGCGTTCACTGAGAGACAAAGATGAAAAGTAAAAAAGCAACCACAGAGAGGATGGCCGCACCAAATCCCTTCCCCTCTTTACCTCTCAGGATTCTGGGTGCACATGTGCCCAGAGTGTACTTCAAGCCACTAGGTCCAAGACGTGAACCATGTAGTCAGCCACATAGCACCAAAATGCCTTAACCACCATGCCACCAGCTGACCCATTATTTCAGTCTTTAAAAAAAAAAAAAAAAAAAAAAGACATGTATAAATTCTAATAAGTGGATATATCAACATTTACTTAGCCAGGACCAGCAGATGGCTGCCATGTAGTTATTCGCAGTTCAAGTCCCAGACCTGGCGGCTTAGAAAACTCAAGCCAGGCATGTGTGTGTGTACACGCAAAATCCCAAAAAAGAGATTAAAGGAGAAGAGACTGCGACATGGCCATTCTCCCTGGGGGTGACTTCTCGCTTTCTATCTCTCTGTCTCTCCAGCGTGACAGTGTCAGTTTTAATCATAAACGTGATCATTTCCAAGTCACTCTCATTTTCCCTTCTTACCATGAGTTATTTCATCCATGTCTGGACTAGTGACAGAATCTTTACCCCCAAAGTCAGAACTGCACTCAGATCTCAGGTCTTCAATCTTATTGGGAATATCCTCTGAGGTTGCACTTATGCCTTTAAAATAGATAAATAAAAATGAAAAATTAACAACCAGAAAAGCAAGATAACTACACAACAAGTAAATGAAGTCTGGAGAAATTTAAACATTCTGAAATTGTGTGTCCCAGTTCTGCACATGTAAGGTCTTTAGCACCTTTTATCATATTATTTAAATATACTTATCTTGCTTTACACAACATAATAGAATTATCATGTTATACCTGAATACAGTAGCAGAGGCTACCAAGAATACAAAGAACTATAGAGGGACTGCTTGCAAATTTCTTCGGCAGGCTCTACTAAGCCACACATTAAGTTCCTAAAGATTCAAGGTGCCACAGAATCATTTCGCTTTCTGGAAATTCCTCAGCTCTTAAATAAAACCTCTTCAGTATCAACTTTATATAAACAGGCGGAGAGAAGAACACCTTCAAATCCCTATTCCTTAGAACAAGACAGACATACCCGACACAACACTGAGGCCTGGTGTGCTGGGGCGGGAACTGACCTCCCTGACATCCGTATCATCAGATGTGCTACCCAGTCCAGAACAGCTCTCCAGTTCTTGCAGACGCTCCTCCTGCTTTAGGTCTGGGGCCTCTAAATAAAAGATAGGAGGTGTCACATTAGTGATTCTGTTGGCATGCTACAATTTCAGCTTTTGTGATCCAGATAAACAAAGCTACCAGAGCATGAATGAAATCAGTGTAAATAGATTTCTAAGTCCGGGCCACTTCAACAAAGCCAGTTAGATTAAGTGCTAAATAAGTCAAGGTTGTGATTTTCATCCCAATATAGGCCAGTTCATTGTGTACAGGCAAAAACTCTGTTTTTAATTCACTAACCACATAGAGTATGCTATTGATTAACATATAAACTGGACAAGAGTATGCAGTAACTTAGTACTAAACCAACCAGTTCCTTAAAAATAGTAACTGCTAAGGATATTGTCTCCTACTTGTCCCCAGACAAGGTTAGCATGTCTGAACATTTTATCATTATAAAACAGTATCAGAATCACTTAAATATTCTTGAGTCAACTAAATCACACAGAATGTAACACAGATATAGTTACTTATATTTGTATGATGGCAAAGATTTGTCTTCATAATGAGAATAAAAAATAGAAATGCAATGCTTAAGTAAAGAGAAAGTATAAAACACTTTATATACATTTATGATAACTGTGCAAAAGAATCCTCAGGACTACAGTCTCCATTTAAACATATTTCAAAAACTCATTTGACATTTTTTAAAGGGTCAAGGGTCAAGGAAAAAATCTAAGCCTGCCTATCAGGCAGTTCACCTTTCGGGGTCTGAGCTACATGGCTACTCCTATTCTGGGATGAGTGAGTGGGACTGAACTGAGCGACCCACATGAAACTCTAAGGAACTACTCACAACTGCTTCCAAAATAGTGGGACACGAGTCAGAGCACGCCTGCTATCCAGCACTGCATTTGCTTCTTAATGAACAGAAAATATCCTAAACTAATTTTATATGCAGAACTCCTAGCAATGTGATTGCCTCACATTTGTCAAATATACATTTGACAAAATATACATAAACACAGAAATTAGGATATCTTACAGTTAAAGCTTCTGTGCAAATGAAAAAGCAAACAATGACAGCATACTAACCTGAGTCACTTGGCAATACCTCTACACTCCACGCTTCGCTTGTTGTCTCTGATATAGTAGAACCAGTGCAGGGGTCAAGAAGCACTGACCCTGAACCTGGCAGGCACAGCAAACTGCCTAACATGTTCTCTGCTGCTGCACCTGTATAACCAGTGGGGAGCAAAGGGTTAACAAAGATCCAGACACAGAACTGTGACAGTGGAGAAAAGCCAAACACTAAGCTAACAAAATCTCTCTCTCCACAAAAAAAGAAGCCAACGTGAGTATAATTTCAATCAAGCACAACACTAAGATCACAAGTTCCCACTTGGCCACAAAGGTGCAAACTCCTTTTCATCAGTTTCTTCCTATTCATCTCTGACTCTCCACAGAGAAACACATTAGGTCAAGTTATTTCAACTAGCTTTCACTTCATTTTTCAGGAGTTTTATGTGTGTCCTTAATATCTTTCTAAAAATGATTGTCCTACAGAAATGAAAAACACTCAAATTTAAACACAGAAAGTTACAGTAGCCAAATATGTTTTCTCCTGGCACATTAGCCACATATTCAGGGCAATAAAATATATTTGCAGGAAAATACACATCTTTGGAGCACTCGTTTGACTGCAAATACAACTTATTGCTCAAATACAGCTTACTGCCGAGAACAATACCACTTTGGCATCTGGAACAAGTAATACAAAAACAATTAAGAAATCTATTTACACTACTTAGAAATACAAGTAGAAAGGATTAAACATTATTGTACATCCATATTAAAAATACTCAAGTTCAAGATGCTCTACTGCTTTTGATTAAAACTAATAAAAAGAATTCTACTTCAGTGCATGAAAAAAGTTTTGAAAAAGAGTAACTGGTAAAAGTTACCTTTCAAAGCTTTATTGTGAAATAATTACAAACACAGTATGTCTGGAACTTGCCTAAACATAATGGAGGGCGGGGATAAAGGGATAGTGAATGAGAGAACAGACAGGGAAAAACTGGCCGAGTGTGTCTAATTGTGGAAGCTGAGTGCTGAGTACCCCGGGTTCATGACGCCATCTGCTCTTTCTACTTGTTTAAAATTTGCAGTGATTAAAAAAAAAAGTCAGGGGCCAGCAGGTGGCATGGTGGTTAAGGTATTGGGCTCCTACATGGCCATCTGTGGTTCAAGTCCCAGACCTGGTGGCTTGCTTTCTCATTGCCCCCTCACTCTGTCCCTCTCTGGTCAAATTAAAAAATAAATTAACAAAGTTGAATAAAATAATTCTATTTACAAATGTCTACTGCAATTTAAATAAAAATTAAAAACATTTTAAAGTATTTAGTAGACACACCCAACAAAAATTATATCTGGGTCTTTTTTAAGTGTTTTTTTTCTTCACCAATCTAAATATGAAAGCAAAATATCTTCTGCAGAAATATTTTGATGATATTTTTACAGTGAGTTTTCCCATTTTTTAAAAATAATTATTCTATTTAACTTTATTTATTTAAATTTGACCAGAAAAGGACAGAATGAGAGAATGAGAGGACAAGTGAGAAAGTCAGCCGCCAGGTCCGGGTCTCAAAATGGTTGGCCATGTGGGAGTCCAGCACCTTCTTTTTTAAGTGTTTTTTTTCTTCACCAATCTAAATATGAAAGCAAAATATCTTCTGCAGAAATATTTTGATGATATTTTTACAGTGAGTTTTCCCATTTTTTAAAAATAATTATTCTATTTAACTTTATTTATTTAAATTTGACCAGAAAAGGACAGAATGAGAGAATGAGAGGACAAGTGAGAAAGTCAGCCGCCAGGTCCGGGTCTCAAAATGGTTGGCCATGTGGGAGTCCAGCACCTTTAACCACCACTCCATCTGTAGGCCCCAAGTTTTCCCATTTTTTTTAATGTCTTAATTTTCATTGCTACATTTACTGTAGGCTGCACAAGAACTTTTACTCTCTTGTGACTGTACTTCAGGCTTTCTAAATTGCCCAGCTGATCTCCTAGATTTTATATGTTACCCATGGTTTATTCTCGTGTTCTTTTTGTATTTATAACTTAGGCTGTATTAAGCAAATGCAAGGTTATACATTTAGCTAATAGTAGCTGAAAGACAATTCAGATGATTATGATTTTATTTGGCTTAAGCTGTACTAGTTCATTTCATGAGGAAATGATGCTGTAGACAAATGTAAATAAAGCCTGTGAGTAAAGGGGGAAAAAAATGAAAAAATGAAAGAAAAAAAGAAAATGAAGATGGTGGTTATAAGACTGTATGAATCTCTCAGAAGTCATAAAACAGCACCCTAAAAAAAGGTAAATTTTTTCTTCATTGGGGCCGGGGGCTAGGGAGGACACAGACATGAATCACTGACAGGATCTTGTCCTATTGTGATGCCCCTGCCCCAGCCTCCCAACTAGCCACTATTACATGCGTAATCATGCCCAGCTTGTTCAGGTTGGCTCAGGAACCAAACCAAGGCTTCCCATGTAGCTTCCAGCATCTCAACCAGTGGTGGTACCAGTGCACAACTGCAGCTGGGCATGGGTGAATTTTAACATGTGTAAACTGTACCTCAACAAACTTAACATAAAAAAATAAGTAAATAACTTGTTGAGTTTGGGGGCTGGATGGTGGTGCAGAAGTAAAACAAAATGGTCTGAAAGGTTGACTCATAGGAGAAGGTTCTAGAATCACACCAGGGACCTCCCTAAATATACTGGGAATGCCCGTGGTAGACGCCAGGGGGAACCATGGGAAAAGACTGCTGGCGTTGCTGTCTCTCTTTCTCCAGTCCTCCTGCTCATGGAGAAAATAAATAAACTTTAAAAAAATTATGGGCCAGTAGATGGCATAGCAGTTACATTGCTGGGCTCCCACACGGCTGACTGGGGTTCAATTCCCAGACTCAGTGGCTTCAAAATCATGCCAGGCACGTGTGTGTGTGTACCCAAGATCCCGGGAAGAGAAGGAACTGTGGCACGGCCATCCCTGGGGGGATTGTCTTTCAGCTACTAATTTCTTCCACTTTCCCTCTCATTGTCGCTGTCTCTTCTCTGCCAGCTCCCCTCAAGCACATGTGCCCTAAGGCAAAAAAAACCTCTACAAAAAAGAATAAATAAAAAATATTTAACTGGTTACCCATTGGAATGGAATTAATTATTCCAGATGTGAATTTACTTTAGAGACCTTCAATACCATATCATTCCAAGATTTTATGCATTAAGTTTTATGACTAAAATTACAAGAATTTTCATCTTAAGGTAAAGTGTTTAGTCTCAAAATGAGAATATACTAACCACAGACAGATCAAGAACACATATGAGGGACCAGCAGTTAGCATAATGGCTATGTCGTTGGACTCCCATGTAGTCAACCGCAATTCGCGTCCTGGACCCGGTGACTTAAAACTCATGCCGGGCATGTGTGCGTGCGTGCCCAAGATCCCGAGAGGAGAATGGAGGAGAAGGGATTGCAGCGTGGCCATCCCCCCTAGGGGGTGATTTCTCGCTTTCTGTCTCTCTCTGTCTGTCTGGAGAGTGCACACATACTATAGCAAAAACCTCTCAAAAAAAAAAAAAAAAAAACACATACGATGCCCTGCAGACAATATGTGATGAGGAGCTAATTCGAAAGATTGGTTTTTCTCTTTTTGAGGGGCAGGGAGAGCAGTTAAATGTAAAAGGAAAAATACCACTTATATTTAAATAAAGAAAAAAGTGTACAAATGCCTTGTTCCATAGATTATCTGTTTCCCAGCTAACACACGCGCCGCATTTGTCATAGCACTAACGCTCCCTCCTGTGAAGGGCAAGTGGATATGAATAACTAAACATCAATCTTCCAGAGACATTAAATAGCAGTTACCTGCAATTTCCTGCAAGCGATCTTCATCAATGTTAGGGTCAAAGTCACTTCCCAAGACATCTGTACTCCAGGTCTCACTCACTGTTTCTGATATGTCCCTATCATCTGTTAGTCCCATCATGTCCCGAATTTCAAACTTCCTTAGCTTATCGTCAAGATTATCTTGTGTTGTAGCTAGCAAAAATAAAATTAAGCACTTTAAAAATGGTAGCACAGTCATGATTTTTAAATCTACTTTAAAGAACCTTATGTCTCTAAACTCCAAGCCACATATTTGATTTTCACTAAGTATTTAATACGCCACAATCAAGCTTGAATGTTCCACACCTGACCCCTGGGCATCATAGGTGCACAATTAAGCCCAGTCCAAACCAGAAGAAACCATCAGCTGACTCAGACTTGAAGGCAAAAACTAAATGGTTTGGGGGTGGCTTGGTATGTAGATTATTGTGATAATACTAATAAACCCATGCTAATTGGATAACTACCTCCTGCATTCTAGAGTTTTCTCTTCTACCTAGACCAATTTCTCTCAATTCACTTTTTTTGTGCTTCAAAATTTAAACCCACAACATACCAACTTCACAGGAAATCTACTCTAAGAAGGGCTTTTCCTAGGTTAGCCATCTATTGGGTTGTAGGAAAAGTCATGACGTATTTCTTCTTTGTGAAAATGTGTCATGACTTTCTGATAACCCAATATTTCCCCTTTGTCTTTCCTAACAGAATATATATAAAATATCCCTCAACTAATTTTTTTTTGGGGGAGGAGCTATAGGACACGTTGAGTTCCTGGGGGTGGGGCAATGTGAAGGTGGGAGTGAGAAATCATCCCACACACAGGGGTGATGGCTAAGCCACAACCCCTCCTCTTCCATTCTTATCTCCTGATTTTGGGGATCAGACCTGGCTTGTTTTTCAAACTGCCAAGTCTGAGACTCGAACCATGTGCTCAGCCACTTGAGATCCTGCCACTTTAACCACCGTGCCACTGGCTGGTCCTCAATTCACTTCTTAACCAAGCATTTCACAAAATAGAGACTGCAACCACCTACATCAGAATCATCCAGAAGATTTGTTAAAGAGGTGATATTCATTCAACTTCTGTCATACACTAATATCATTTTAAGTTTTTCTGCTATCTGCAGCAAATTTAATTCTGACATACTGATAAACCAATCCAGTAAATAATAGCATTACATACTCCAATGGTGATTCTCTTTTCCTTTCTAAAAATGGACTGAACCAAGATTTCTAGAAGTGAGACTTGAGAAACACAAATTTTAAAAAAGTTCTCAAGTCATTCTTATGAACACTAAAGTCTAAGAATCATGTCTGGAGCCTAGTCAGGGCATCTATATTCAGGCAGTGATGTTCAAATTAAAAAAACCCTAAAAATGTTTTCAAATTATTTGTGCTAAAGCATAAGAGGGTATCACCCTCATCCTCATCTAACCAAGAGTTTTCAACAGCTTCTGGCTTGCTCCTGAAGTATGGACTTGTACCTCTCCATAACAGGGGTCCATCCACTTATCAATATTGGCTTCATTCTTCTCTACTTGACCTGAATAAGAACGATGGTTTCCCATCTCTTTAACTTGCTATATCCATTCCCTCATCTAGAATGAACTACCTCCAACTTCGGCCCATGCAATGCCAGCCTGGCTTTAAGGCTACTGTTTTTTCCAAATGATCTTTTCCCTGACTTTCAACCACATGGATTGCTCATGAGAATGGCCAAAGCACCTTTCTGTTACTTTTAATAAGTTGTGTACCACTCTCTCCCTCTTCTAAGTTCCTTGAGTCCTGAGTATTTATTATCATATCCCTTAAATAAGACCAAATTAAGGGACCAGCAGTTGGCGTAACGGCTATGTCACTGAACTCCCATGTAGTCAACAGTGGTTCGAGTCCCGAACCAAATGGCTTAAACTCACGCTGGGCACATGTGCGTGCGTGCCCAAGATCCTGAGAGAATGGAGGAGAAGGGATTAAGGCATGGTCATACCCTTTGGGAGGTGATTTTTCACTTTCAGTCTCTCTGTCTCTGTTTTTCTGGCAGGTGCACATACTCTATAGCAAAAAAAAAAATCTCTCAAAAAAAAAAAAAAGACCAAATTGAAATATCAAATATTATAAAATTAAAAGTAAATCACATTGATTATTCCATGAAACTGGAGTCTAAATAATTCACTTGTCAACTAAACACATGTTTAAGAACTGAAGGAACTGGCCAGAAGCTGGCATAATGGCTATGTCACTGGACTCCCATGTAGTCGACCACGGTTCAAGTACCGGACCTGGTGGCTTGAAAAACATGCTAAGCCATATGCATGCGTAACCAAATCCTGAGAGGAGAATGGAGGTGAAGGGCCTGCGGTGCGGCCATCCCCCCTGAAGGATGCTTTCTCACTTTCCCTCTGTCTCTCTCCCTGGTAAGTTGCATGCATCCAATAGTAAAAAAAAAAAAGAAAAGAAAAAAAAAAAGAACAAAGAACGTTGGGAACTATAAAAAACTATGAATAAATAAATTTAAGGGTCATTATATAAACAAATTTATTCTATTACTCAACACAGCCAACTCGCATGTGAACACACTAATCTTGCAATCAGCTAACTCCTTTGCTAAGTGAGCGACTATTTAAGGGCACGTTACCTTGCTCGTGTTCCAACAGCTGCAGAGCTTCAACTCCATTACTCCCTGTCGGTCCTGCCCCAAGCTCTGACACAGACTCTCCTTCCAAGTCTAGAGAAGACACCGAATTGGAGCGGTTTGAAGGACCTAGAGAAATGTTGATCCTGTGAGTGATCTTTTGAAAACCGTCATGAGCCACCATGCAATTTTTTTATGCTTTGATCAAGTGCTTTCAATACTGCATTTATACTTAAAAAATAAACATGCCCCCTTTGAGTCAGCAATTTTTTGCTTCTAGAAATTCATCCTAAGGAACTAATCGAAAATTAACCTAAGGCTGATTATTGCAGAGTTTCTCATAATGCCTGAAAAGTGGAAGCAATCCACATGTTTAATCATGGAAGAATGCTGCAAATGATGGTATGCCCATATGAAATGAAAGAGGACTATCATTAAAAACCATGTTGTTGGGACTAGCAGATCACATAATGGTCACACTGCTCGACTCTCACATAGTCAACTATGGCTCAAGTCTTGGACCCAGTGGCTTAAAATTCAGCTGGGCATGTGTGCGTGTGTGCCCAAGACCCACAGAGCAGAATAGAGGAGAAGAGATTGCAACGTGGCCAGCGCCCCTGTGTGTGTGGGGGGGTGATTTCTGCTGTCTCTCTGTCTCTCTGGTGAGGGCACACACCCTATAGCAAAAATCTCTCTAAAAATAAATAATGAACATTTTGTTTTATGTTTTTCCCATAGGGCAGGCATGCTCACTGAAGAGAAACAGAGAGAGGGAAAGTGAGAAATCACTCATCAGTATGCCATCAATCCCTTCTCCATTCTCCTCTTGGGGAGGGACTGATGGCATATTCATAAAGAAATCTCCCAGAGTGATTTTTAAGCTGTTGGGTTGGGGATTCAAACCATGGTTGGTCATGTGAGAATCCAGCACCTTAACTACTGCACCCTCTGCTGCCCTCCCCCCCCTTTTTTAAAGGTTTTTGCCATAGGGCTGTGTGCTCACTAGAAAGAGACAGAAAAAGGGAATGTAAGAAATTACCTCTGGGAGAAACAGCCACACCATAGTCCCTTCTCCTCTATTCCCCTCTCAGGATTTTGGGCACACACACACAAGCTCCCAGCATGATTTTCAAGCCAGTAGGTCTGGGACTCAAACCCAGTTTGGTCATGTGGGAATCCAAGGACTTAACCACCACTACTTGTTGGCCCCCTAAATATTTTAAATATTATTTTTAAAATGTTAAATTACCAAAGGAAATGTAAATGATATATTATTAAACAAATAAGAAAAGATTATAAAATAAGATAAACCTAATTTGCTAGACATAATCCAAAATGTTAATTACTATGCACAGAATGGCGAAATTATAGATGATTCTATTTCTTTTCTGCATTTTCTAGAATGAACATACATTACTTATGAGATCTTCTTTAAATGAGATAAAAGAGAAGTTACTACATTTTTATGTTTACTTTAAAACATTAATAAGTTAACTCTTTACTCTTTTTCATTAAAGACAATTTGTCCAAGAATGTAAAATGACATAATCTAACTTCAGTCTTGGCTTTTCATTTTGTTATTCCTATTTCCATTGTAACCTGCTTCATAAAGGTATGTGTGAATGTGTAAATAGAGGAATTCGGAACATCGACAGTATACAAAACATCCTAAAATACTAGTAAGTTCATTCTCCCCACTTAGACATGCAGTATATCCTTCTAAAGGAGCTCTATAAGCGTTGGTATGTATTAATACTGGAAAAATAGAATTGCTGTCTTGCTGTTACTCTATTTAAGTCTCAATGAAGACTTGTATCTTTTCCATTTTATATGACCAAAGGCAAAGGCCTCTTGCAATCTTAATTTTATTCAGAGAATAATCTTTCCAGCCAACTGTTCAAACTCATTAGAGAAAAACTTCATTACTCTCCTCAGTGAGAGGCACAGATGGTATAATTATAATTTATAAGGCTCCTTTAAAGAACACAAAACATTACTTGAATCACACAACTCCTTGAATGAAGTAACCCTTCACCTTCAGATATTCCTTCCAGATTATCACTGCAGAGGGAAAAGCGCAAGGTTTTATCAGGTTTACCGTGGAGTTTGTTTTCATCAACAGGGACATCTCCTTGTCCTCCATCCGAAAGTTGCATGTTTAGGACCTGAAAGACATAATGTTGATTTTGGCTATCACAATGAAAATATTACTGATAAGAAAATGAATCATGGGGGGGCTAGCAAGTGGCATGGTAGTTGGGGTGCTGGATTCCCATATGGCCAACTGCAGTTCGAGTCCTGGACCTGGCGGCTTACTTTTTTTTTTTTCTTTTTTTTGAGAGGTTTTTTTTTGCTATAGGGCGCGTGCGCTCGCCAGACAAACGAGAGTCAGAGAGATAGAAAGCGAGAAATCACCCCCCAAGGGGGGATGGCCACGTCTCAATCCCTTCTCCTCCTTTCTCCTCTGGGGATCTTGGGGACGCACGCACACGTGCCTGGCATGAGTTTTAAGCCACCAGGTCCGGGACGCGAACCGCAGTTGACTACGTGGGAGTCCAGTGACATAGCCATTACACTAACTGCTGGTCCCACTGGCAGCTTACTTTCTCACTTTCACATACTCTCTCTTTCTCTGTCTCCCTACCGCTCTCTGGTGGGCCCTATGGCAAATTAAAATAATAATAATAATGATGATGATGATGATGCTTTTTTGTCTCTGCTGCCAGCAAGGAGCTCATGAAAAAGTTTATGGTGAAGGGGAGCAAAAAAAAGAAGCAGGTTCTAAAGCTTACCCTTGACTGTACCCACCCTGTAGAAGATAATATCATGGATGCTGCCAATTTTGAGCAGTTTCTCCAAGAAAGAATCAAAGTCAATGGGAAAGCTGGGAATCCTGGTGGAGGGGTTGTAACCATTGAAAGGAGCAAGAGGAGGATCACTGTAACTTCCAAGGTGCCTTTTTCTAAAAGGTATTTGAAATACCTCACCAAAACATATTTGAAGAAGAGTAATCAACGTGATTGGCTGCACGGAGTTGCTAACAGCAAAGAGTTATGAATTACATTACTTGCGGATTAACCAGGATCAAGAGGAGGAGGAGGAGGAGGATTAAAACTCACTTATCAGGGACCAGCAGTTGGAGTAATGGCTATGTTGCTGAACTCCCATGTAGTCGACTGCGGTTTGAGTCCCAGACCCAGACTGCCGTTCGAGTCCCACATGAACTCACGCCGGGCGTGTGTGCGTGTGTGCCCAAGATCCCGAGAGTAGAATGGAGGAGAAGGGACTGCAGCATGGCCATCTCCCCTGGGGGATGATTTCTCACTTTCTGTCTCTCTGTCTCTGTCTTTCTGGAGAGTGCACACGCCCTATAGCAAAAACCTATAAAAAAAAACCCCTCATTTATCTGAAATATTTTGTATGAGTTCTTGAATAAAACGGGAATTAAAAAAATAAAGTAATAATAAATAAAATAATTCTTTAAAAAAAAAAGTAAAGAAACCACAGGCTAGCAAGTAGTATGTTGGTTAAGGTGGCAGGATCCCACATGGCCAACTATGCAGTTTGAGTTCTAGGCCCAGCAGCTTGAGGAAGACACCAGGCACATGTGGGTCCTCAAAATCCTGAGGAGAGTAGAAGAGAGTGGATAATGGGGTGGGCAACTCCCCAACCCCTGAGGGGGCTTCCCCACTTTCTTTCTGTCTCAATCTCCGTTCAGTGCACATACCCTATAGCAAGAGAAAAAAAGAAAAGAAAACACAGGAAATACATATTTAAGTTCCTAATCTTAAATTATCAATTTCTTTTTTTAATTTGCCGAAGGGTGCGTGCACTTGCTAGTGATAGGGTGGGAGCAACATGCGCGCGTACACACACACACCCCTATGTGTTTTTCAAACCTCCAGGGTCACGACTCAAACCACATGGTCAACCATGGGGGATCCAGCTACCTTAACCACCAAGCCATAGGCTGGCCCTTAAGTTATCATTTTTAACTAAAAAGCCATGTATGAAGGCTGTCAAACTTTTAAATACCTGTGGAATAAAAGTTTAACAGTTAAAGCCCTGGAACTATAACTATCACTTTATTAGTGTCAGAGACTGAACAGACAACAATGAGCATTGGTTAGGATTATAAGAATCAGAGGCTTTGGTGTCAAGAGCCTAGTCCTTTCAGCTTTACCATGTGTCAACTATGTAATCTTGGGTAAGTTATTGAAGCTCTTAAAACCTCGATTTCTTCATCTGTCAAATGCTGACAGTAAGGTTATGTCTGGCACAAAACTGAGAATTAAATTTAACATTTCTATTTTTATTTTTTGCCTTCAGGTGTGTGAGCTTGCTGGATATATATATATAGAGAGAGAGAGAGACAGTGAGAGGGAAAGTGAGAAATCACCCCCCGGGAGGTAAGGCCATGTCACAATCCCTTCTCTTCCATTCTCCTCCCAAAATCTCGGGCACATATGCACACAAGCCTGACATGATTTTCAAATAACCAGGCCCTGGGACTTGACTTGCAGTTAGCCATGTGGGAGTCCAGCGACATAACCATTACTCCATCTGCTGGCCCCAAGAATTTAATATTTTAAATGCATACAAAATATTAGGCATGGTAAGTGACATAGTAAATCTATAGTATATCCTTTCAAAAGTTAATAAACTGGCCAGCTACGTAACACAGCAGTAATGCACTACTCAAAAGTAGGATCTCACAAAGTGACCATGGTTCAAACTGCTGTTTCAGGCCTGGTCAACCTGAAACACTGGGCTTGCACATGAATGCTTAAGATCTGACGAGCTGGAAGACTGGAGGAAGGAGACTGTGGTGTGACCAGATTCTGCAGAGAATACTCATCTCTCTTGGTCTCTCTTACCCTGTCATGTGTGTGCACACACATCCTACCATGAATTTTTTTTAATTATCTTTTGAAATTAATAAACAAATTCAACTGGGAAAAAACATGTACATTACCTTGTAAGCACCAGGATTTAATCCATCCAGTCTGAACCTCCACTTGGCCACCACATACAGGGCCACTGAAATCTATACCAGAAGCCAAACTATGACCGCCCATGCATCTCCAACTTAGAGTTGATGGCCTTATTACAACGTTTTCTATTTGTGAGATGGCATTCAAATAGCATGATTTTTCTCACTCCCTACAGTGCTCATTAACTCAGCTTTGTACGTGCATTTCTACCTTAATGAAATACAAAGTGCTTTGTTGGTAAAATATAATTTAAAAAAAGGTTTTGCTGGAAGTCTCACAGTGTTTTTTTGGGAGAGGTTTTTGCTATAGAGAGCGTGCACTCGCCAGAAAGACAGAGAGAGACAGAGAGACAGAAAGCAAGAAATCACCCCCCAGGGGTATGGCCACACTGTAATCCCTCCTCCTCCATTCTCCTCTCGGGATCCTGGGAACGCACACACATGTGCCTGGCTTGAGTTTAAGCCATTGGGTCCAGAACTCGAACCGTGGTCGACTACATGAGAGTTCAGCAACATAGCCATTATGCCAACTGCTGTCCCCACACAGTATGTTTTTAGCACCTGGAACTTGAACTAAGAGCCTCTGGCTTCCTAGGCTGCTCAGGAATATAAAGGAGGAATGGTATCTCACTTAAAAAAAATTGTCATAAAAAGTGAAGACTGGGAACCAGCAGTTAGCGTAATGGCTATGTCGCTGGACTCCCACGTAGTCGACCGCGGTTCGCGTCCTGGACCCGATGGCTTAAAACTCATGCCGGGCGTATGTGTGTGCATGCCCAAGATCCCGAGAGGAGAATGGAGGAGTAGGGATTGTGGAGTGACCATCCCCCCTGGGGGGTGATTTCTCGCTTTCTGTCTCTATGTCTCTGTCTGTCTGGCAAACGCTGTGGTCGACTACGTGGGAGTCCAGCGACAGAGCCATTACGCTAACTGCTGGTTCCTGGTCTCTCTCTTTTTCTGATAAGCACATATCCCCTCTGACAAAATTTAAGTAATAATTAAATTTTTAAAAATACTAAAATCTAACTTCATGCTTCTACACCAAAAAATCTGTGAACTTGAGGCTACACTAAAACCACAGAAACTCAAGAGTTAAGGGACCAGCAGATGGCAGCACGGTTATGTCGCTGGACTCCCACAAAGTTGACCAGTGCTCAAATCCTGGACCTGGTGACTTAAAACTCAGGCTGGGTATGTGTGTGCACGCACATGCCACCACCCACCCCTCAAATCCAAAAAGAATGGAGGAGAAGGAATTGCAGTGTGGCCATCCCCCACGGAGGGTGCATTCTCTCTGGCAAGCATACGCACACCTATACCTGAAACCCTTCCATAGGGCATGCTGCAGGTAAGTGAGCAGTTTTGCTTGCTTCAAAAACTAGCATTTAGCCCCAGGGGCATAAGATTTCAAAATGTCCCACAATACAATGGAACAGTTCCTGAAAATGAAGCATTACCACACTCAAAATTCTAGTAGTCAACCACAGTTCAAGTCTCAGACCCGGTGGCTTAAAACTCACACCAGGTAAGTATGCATGCACACCCAAAATCCTGAGAGGAAAATGAAGAAGGAATTATGATGTGGCCATACCCCCTTAGGAGTGATTTCTCACTTTCTGTCTCTGTCTCTCTGGAGAGCACACGCACCCTATAACAATCTCTTTAAATAAAAAAAATTTTCAAATACCTCCTCCACTAAAAACACTAATGTAGTACAATCTCTTACCCAAATAAGAGGTATCTATATCATCACAATAAAGCCGTATGAAGCGACCAGCAAATGGTATAGCAGTTACGCTGCTGGTCTTCCACATGGCTGACCATGGTTTGAGTCCCAGACCTGGAGGTTTGAAAATCGTGCCAGGTGTCCGGGCTGGCACATGGTGTGGTGAAGGGTACTAGACTACCACATGGTCAACCACAGTTCAAGTAGTAGCTTGCTTTCTCACTTTCTCTCTCTTTCTCTCACTCTGTCCCTCTCAAATTAAAATAAAATAAATAAAGTTACATAAACATAATTCTTTTGAAGAGGTGTTTTTTTTTTTTTTGCTATAGGGCCTGTGCACTCGCCAGAATTTTGCTATAGGGCGCGTGCGCTCGCCAGACAAACGAGAGTCAGAGAGATAGAAAGCGAGAAATCACCCCCCAAGGGGGGATGGCCACGTCTCAATC